TCTCTCTCTCTCTCTCTCTCTCTCTCTCTTTCTCTCTCTTCGTCAACACTGGACCAGTTCTTTACTTTCGAAATAGATCATTTATGTCTGGACGAAATAGATCATTTATATCTAGACGAAATAGATCATCTATGTCTGGACGAAATAGATCATTTCTATCTGGACGAAATAGATCATTTATGTCTGGAATTGTAATGGAGCAAAGGAAGATGAGACTAACACTAACACATTGGACAAACACTAACTCAAAGAAACACTGAAAGTTAATACATGTATTGTTTCTTTCTCTTAATCGTTTTAGGAGACGTTTTTTACTCGTCAATATCTAATCACGAATTATATTCTTTATGCACGTCAATGCCATAACAACATCATCAACAACAACACTTGCATCATCTTAGCATCTGCGTTTGTTGCCTTTTTTATCCAAAAGTTGCCACAAAAAAATGGCAAGAGTTGCCATAAAAGTTTAATTAATTTTCAAGCTTTTAACTCTCTGTGACAACGTATAGTGTATAGCAATATGTTGATAGAGGTAACTTAGTCCAAAGCACCAGAATTTCTTGTGCTCTTTTTTAAGCACCCAGAATATCACTTGTAGCCACACAGTATAAAAACGTGAAAAATAAAGGTTTCACAACAGAATGAAATCAATATCAGAACACCATATAAACAACCATAAAAATTAATAAATAAGGGCGTGTGTACACCTATCCAAAGATAAGCCGTTTTAACCCAAAACGTGTGCAATTTTTTTAAAAAGTACAGGATATTCTATGGAATCACACACAAGGGATAAGGGACCTGCCAGTGTCAGTACATGTATTCGGTTTTCATGGAGACATGCTCTTACATAACACATTTATATATATTTTTTAAAAGGTAGGAACAGCATCAAATGCAATGACATTACACCATATGAACATAAAAAATAGAAAAATAACACATCAGAACAATAACAAGAAAAATAATAATAACACATCAACAAATTGAATAAAGCGGAAGTGAAAATAAACTTTCTTTCGAAAAGTAAAGTGGTTCGATTTCTTCTTTTTTTTCGATTTTTATACCTCGTTTTTTGTTTGGATTTCTTATTCCCCGGCCGTGATTTTTTTTTTCTTTTTTTCTTTTCTTTTTTAAAATGCAAAAATCGGGGCCTCGATTCGCAGACCAAAAAATGCCCAAAATCGCTTCCGCAATTCGTGGGTCGTGGCCGCGACAAACGCAGATGCTAGATCATCAACAACAACAACATCAGCATCAACAGAATTATCAACACGCATGTAACCGTTTCTCCTATTTGCATTCTGGAAGTATATTACGATATCATTGTGTGTTAGATAACTTTCCTGAACATACTCTTTGACATGTAGAATTTCGGAATGTCTTAGGGGGAAGTGAATTGCCACTATAAAAAAGTAACAATGTACAGTCTACCACCCACAAAACTAACTTTATCAATATTAACTTTGTGTTGATTACAGCTAGCACATCACGAGCTCAACGTTATACCAATCAGATGGCGTCATTTTGATGGTGCTGG